CCAAGGCGCGATGGGAGGAGGTCAAGCGAAGTTGGGAGCAAGTCACAGAGGGCGCTGACGGCAGTCTCGCGGTCGGGGCAAGCTTGGAGGCCGAGAAGAGGAGGAGGCTGCTGAGAGACACAACGCCACTGCAGCGCGGCATTATCAGACATCTGGTGCTGGTGCTAGACATGTCATTCGCCATGACCGAGAAGGACATGCTCCCGAACCGCTATCGTGTAGCCTGGGCGTACGCGGCCGACTTCGTGAAGGAGTACTTCGAACAGAACCCAATCTCGCAGCTGGGCATCGTCGGCATGCGGGATGGCGTGGCTCTACGAATCAGCGAGATGAGCGGCAATCCGACAGACCACCTGGAGAAGCTGAAAGAATTCGAGGGCCAAGATCCGTCAGGCAACCCAAGTTTGCAGAATGCGCTTGAGATGTGTCGCGGTGCCCTTTTGTACGTGATAACGCCATTCCCTAAGCTTTACAGACAGATACTGACTCTGACCCGACAGCCACGCACCTTCCCACGGCACACGAGAAGTCCTAATAGTATTTGGCGCCCTCCTCTCCTCCGACCCGGGCGACATCCATACCACAATAGACTCCCTCATATCCGATAAAATCCGCGTTACCATCGTCGGCCTCGCGGCGCAGGTCGCCATCTGCGGAGAACTATGCACCCGCACCAACGCCGGCGACGACACGCAGTACAGCGTCTGCATGAACGATGCCCACTTCCGCGATCTCCTCCTCGCCGCCACGACCCCACCCGTTACCCGGACGGCCGCCCAGAGCACCGCTTCTCTGCTCATGATGGGCTTCCCCTCGCGCACTCTCGCGCAGGGCGAGACGACAGCCGTATGCGCCTGCCATAACAAACCCGCCCGCGAAGGCTATCTCTGCACGCGATGCGCTACCCGCGTGTGTCGTCTGCCCATCGAGTGTCCCGCCTGTAGTCTGACGCTCATCCTCTCCACCCATCTCGCGCGCTCATACCACCATCTCTTTCCGTTACGGAACTGGATCGAGGTCACCTGGGCCGCGGCCGCCAAGTCGAAAGCATGCTATTCGTGCCTCACCAACTTTCCGGAACCGCCCAAGGCCTCCAAGAAGAAGGACAAGGGCAAGGACCAAGATGGCGTGGCTACGACGACAGGGCCCGTTGCCCCGACCCCGGTGAAAGCGGCAGAGCTGAAGGGGGTTAGTGAAAGCGGACGGTACGCCTGCACGGTGTGTGATAATCACTTTTGCATCGACTGCGACGTCTACGCGCATGAGGTCATTCACAACTGCCCTGGATGCCAAAGTGACACCCGTGGGGCGGCGATGGAGGTGATTAACGAGACGAATGGGACGCATGAGCATCAAACCAATGGAACGGCTATGGCGGTGGACTCATGACACTAACAGATGTATGGGAAACGGAATATAGGATGGTGGATCTTGGAGGAAGCGTGGAGCTCCCATGGAGGAGAGAGAGGAAGTAGCGCTCTGGCTAGAGTTGGCCAACACTCGGCAGTTTGCATTTGGACAATCGGATGGCAGCATCAACGGAGCACAGGAATTGGAGAAAAGAGTTCATCGGCGCAAGAGGTCCAGGTAAGGACCATGTTTTTAAATATACCTATCGTACCCTGCAGAACCCCCTCAACAAGAAGTTGGCTGGCTGAGAGATGAGCATCATGGCCTCACATTCGACACCATCACGAGTGCGGATACGAACAATCGTGTGATACTGACATGAGGTTTAACTTGGTTTAACTACCTGTTTTTGCTTTACAAGTTTCCACGCTCGGCCTGCTCGCGCTCAATAGCCTCGAACAAGCTCTTGAAGTTACCGGCACCGAAACCCTCAAAGTGGTTGCGCTGGATAATCTCAACAAAGACGGTGGGGCGGTCCATGAGCGGCTTAGTGAAGAGCTGAAGCAAGTATCCCTGCTCGTCGTAGTCGATAAGAATGTTGAGCGCCTCAATGGTGGCGAGGTCCTCCTTGAGCTCCCAGTTGCGCTTCTCCGTCTTGAGGCGGTGGCGCATGGTGTCATAGTAGGTCGAGGGGACGTTGATGAACTCAACGCCGCGGGCGCGCATGGCCGACACGGTGGTGATGATGTCCTGGGTCAGTAGGGCAATGTGCTGGACGCCGGCGCCCGAGTTGAAGACGACGTACTCCTCGATCTGAGACTTCTTCTTGCCGGGCGCGGGTTCGTTGATGGGCATCTTGACCATGTTGTTGGCCGAGGCCATGACGATGGAGTTGAGGGCCGAGAACTCTGTGCAGATTTGCGAGTCGTCGACGGACCAGAAGCGGTGGAAGGACAGGCACTGCTCGTAAAAGGCGCAGGCCGACACCATTTCGTTCCAGGACTGGTTGCCGACGCAGTGGTCGATCCGGGCCAGGGGCACGTTGGGGAGCGTGACGGTGGCCGTGGTGGGCTTCGCGGCGCGGAAGCCCGGGAGGAAGGGGCCCGAATATCCGTTGCGGGAGATGAGCGTGTGCGTCGTGTCGCCGTAGGTGCGGATGACGGCGGTCAGGACGTTGCCGTGTTCCTTGTCCTTGAGGACGGTCGGGGGCTGAACGGCATCGGCGCCCTCTGAGACGGCCTTGTTGTATACGCCCTCGACATTGTCGACCTCGAAGGCGACATCCTTTACGGCGTCGCCGTGCTTCTCGAGGTGAGCGTGAATCTCGCGCAGGAGCTCTCGCTCCGCGTCTGAGATGGGCTCATCCTCGGGGAGGTGGGCCAGTGATCGCACCGGGGAGGTGAAGACGAAACGGACGTCGTGGTTGGCGACGGCGTACGAGGCGATATACCTGCTGCCCGTTTCGAGGCCCTTGTATGCTACGGTTTTGAAGCCGAAGAGAGTAGTGTAGTAAGCAGCGGCCTGCTTGGCGTTGCCAACCCACCAGGTTACGTGATCGTAGCCCTGGAAGTTGGGCGGCGGATGCTGTACTGCGAGTCCATCGCCGAGATCTGTTGATGCCGGGTAGGCGGCTTGCTGTGGCGGGGAGTCTGTGATAGCAGAAGGGGACATTGACACTCAGAAGTTTTCGGGGGTGACAGGACTAGGGTCAAGGAGTATGAGCGTGTGTAAGTGCGTTATGATTCTCTGATAAGAGGCAGACAGAGTCGATGGTTAAAGCTAGTGAGATTGTAGACGTTGCTCGTTGAGGAAAAGGGGGGGGACTGTCCGTGTTATGTACGTTGCACCGTCTATCCTTATATGTACCAAGACACTGACACTGTATTATCATATATGAACCTTATTCAACGACGGACTTCCGCCTTTGGAGGACAAGGACTTGAGTAATCCTGCATTCCACGCCCGTAGATTGGTGGCTCCCCGTCGCCGCATCTAACGCTTGTCACTGGCCAACCTTCCCTCCCGGGCGGGGGTAGTCTCTAGATCCTGTCTCTGTCCACAGTCCTTGCGCATAGGCAATTCGCGACGGGACGGGCGCCATCCTAGAATGGCTTCGATACCTGGCAGTAGCGTCCCGAAGTAGAAGGAGAGGTTGGCAGCGGTAAAGCGTAGAGCCGGCGATACAGCGTTGAGGTGAGATGCCAATCGCAAGCGGAAAGGCGCCGGCCGAGTGTGATGGCCGCGGTGAGCCGCGATAAGCCGCCGCTGGCCGGCCCATGTGCGGCGCGGCTTTGACGGGTTCCCCACCCATGCTTCGGATGCTCCAGGCTATGCCCGCCATCCCGCGCAGCACCCTCCCAGATTCAACCTGGAATACAAAGAACAGGAGGGCACAGGCGACCAAGCCGCTGTTTCCGTTCATCCTGGGGAACGTCTGGGCTCTCTGCTTGTGGGATGGGTGGGGTACCCACCATGACGGCATGTGCCTTATCTCATCGCCTCTGAAACCCTTTCGTAGCCGTCAAAGTGCGGAATGTGAGCATCTGCTGCTTGCCCCCCCGCTGGAGCCGCTCGAAAGTGTTGCGTCTGATAAAGGTTGCCGTGCTGCCAGCCAGTCCTGGCGGTATTTGTCACTTTTGAGATCGGAAAAAAGCGTAGACGGTCCATCGTCACGCATCGCAAAAAAGTTCGATTTATCTCGAATCTGTTCCTTCGACAAAGAACATCAGTATTCTTCCCAAAATTATTCAATCTCCAATTCAACACTGCAAGATGGCTTCTGTGGACCTGACTCGACGAGACGTAAACGTACTTGACAAGATCAAGGACCCCGAATCCGACCCTTCGGTGAACGTCCTCCTCGACCCATCCCTGCCCCGGGATCCTCACATCGCTGATGCCGCTGTCTACGAGCGAGTGATACAGAAGGAGCGTGAGATCATCATGTCCATGCAACAGCTCGAACTTCAATTGGCAGGATTGCGGCCGAGAACTGTATCTGAACCAGTGCAAGAGTACAAAGGACTTCTCTCGAAGCTGAACGACTTCATCGAAGCGTACCCCAACTATGCCAGCGCGAGGAACAACCGCGTACAAGCGCTGAGGCGGCTGTACGGAGACACGATGCTGTTGGCGGGAGCACCACCAACGCCGCAGCGGCTCGTACAGGCGCCCGAAAGCGCCGAGTTGATCCGGTACTCAAAGATCGCCCTGGAAGATAGTGAAAAGTCTATCTCCCTCTTGACGCCCCGTACAATGTTCGGCGCCATGTCGCCTCAGGCAGCCAAGACCCTATCGCTAGCATACACGCAGCGCGCCGCCATCTACCACATGACTGCCAAGCTCGTAGAGGAGCACAGCGTACAGGTCGCGGAAGGGAGGCGAGAAGCCAGCTGGACGAAGCTTGTGTTCGAGGAGGCGGCGTCTCGGGACTTTGCCTATGGCGGAAGGTACGGCAACGAGATCGCTAAGAGTCTGGCAGTGAGCACGAATCCCACGGCGAAGCTGTGCGGGCAGATGGTCCGGGAGGCGATGAAGAAGGAGTATGGGCCGTCCTACGGCGAGTAAGGGTGTATATAGTATCAACAAGTTGTAATGTAAGCAAAGGCGGTTGAAGCGTCGCATCTCCTCCCTTGCCAATGGCTGTCACTATGAGTGCCTATGCGGAAGCCTTGAGAAGCCCTAGACGTCTAGGTATCCGGTTGGGTTAGTCAGAGATCGTACCAGTGTACTGCTGATAGACACCGTACCTCTTCGCCGCCGCAATGGTCTCTGGTGTAGTCTTGCCCTTTTCCTTCTCCTCGCGATTGATTCTCGTCGCAGCGGCACCAAGTCCAATCACCAAGGCAAAGATGGGGTCCGCGACCTTGGAGATGATATACGCAGGTGGAGGAGCCATGGTGTGTGTTTGCGTATTGTCGTCGTCGTCGCGGGAGGTCGCGTCGTTCGTGGGGCGTGGTAAAGCTAGGCTGTTGTTGAAATGGATCGGAGGAAGTTCGCGATGAGCTCCGTGGCCAGCTTGGGAAGTGGAGCAGACTGAGCGCCGTACGGGCACGGTACCTGGGTACCAGTGGCCCGTCCAGTAGAGCTCCAGCGCGGACGCTGGTCAGTGGAAGCGTCCTTCTATTGCCAACGGCCCCCACTTGCAGCACCACCCACCACCAGTGATTCGCTTATTCCCCAGTGAAATTTCGACCACGTGACCGGGCACATGCTTAGGTCCCTCCCTCCCACGGATCAATTTTGAAATTTCCTCTAGGTTATCAAATCCAGGATCTCACGTCGCAGCAACTTTCACCAACCGCCCAGTACGCCCAGCACCCACCGACAGCGCAGGTCAAAATGAAGTTCCTCAAGGTCGGCAGAGTCGCCATCATCACCCACGGCCGTTACGCCGGCAAGAAGGTACGATTATATACGAAAATTCTCGAGAAAGCCTACCCCGTCGCAGTACTATATTCAACCCCGACTTCGCGAGAAGGAGGGGCGCGGATGAAGGTCACCCAACATCGATGTCGAGGAGTGTGAAAGTGTTTGGCCAGGGAACTATGGGAAGGAAATTATGGCGACGACTATACGAAACGATTCCGAATTGCGAAAAGAACAGGAGGAAACACCGGTCCGACCAAACACTTTTTACACTCTTCGAGCGTCCGATATTTTGGGTTGAGGGCATCCACGAAATTTACTGCGGAGGAGGACAATGGTGGATTATGTTGGGGCACTTGCCCACACATACACATCCAATAATCCCGAGCGATTGCTAACGTTCCTCTCTGCAGGTCGTCATCATCCAGCCTGTCGACTCTGGCAACAAGGCTCACCCCTTCGGCCACGCCCTGGTCGCCGGCATCGAGCGCTACCCCTCCAAGATCACCCGCCGCATGTCCAAGACCCGCCAGGAGAAGCGCAACAAGATCAAGCCCTTCGTCAAGCTTGTCAACTACAACCACTTGATGCCCACCCGCTACACTCTCGAGCTCGAGGGCCTCAAGGGCGTCGTCAGCAACGACACCTTCAAGGAGGTCACCCAGCGTGAGGATGCCAAGAAGCAGGTGAAGAAGGTTCTGGAGGAGCGTTACACGAGCGGAAAGAACAGATGGTTCTTCACGCCTCTGAGTATGTCACTCTCTCTCCTCACATCCAACGTTTGCCATCTTTCCTCCGGGGGCTCCGTTCCCGGCGAGGCAGAGGCTATGCGTCGGCTACTGGCAATTCGTACATGTACTAATACCAAGCACAGGATTTTAAAGGACAAACCGTTTTCTGCAATCGTCAACAGGTCGGGGAGTTGGGCTGGCTTGTAAAGAGCATCAATTGGCATCTGAGGTCCTCGGTTTAAGGGCTCCCAATGAGAAACCATTGAAATCCAAGACGTTTGCCCTGTGATACCTCAACAAACTGGAAAAAATGCCGCCGCGCTGCTGCTGTGACCGGAAGAGTGATAGACACAAAAGAAGTGAGAGTAAAAAGGGGTCAAGGGTCTATGATGACTGATGGGTATGATTCAGCCCTCGGCCGTGGGATGGCCATGATCAATGGAACATGAAATAAGCAAGTCAAACCAACTTTTCCAGCCAAATCGAGTCGTGATAGTTGCTATGGTCCCTACCTAGGTATGCTGAGTGCTTTCAATTTCATGCCATCAATACTCGGCAGCCCACAGGCTCAATTGCAGTGCGACCCACATAACTTGTTGCACAAAATATTGTAACCCACCCACACAACCCTCTATTACAAGCCAAGACCGAATTGCTGAAACCACGGCTTACGTTAGATGTTGAGACCATCGCCGTTTAGATTGAGCGCTCTTGTAGTGTGATAATGGTGACTGATTCGACGATGGCCAGCTGATGTTGTCTTCTGGCCTGATGCATCATAATTGCTGAGGGTGACAGCTATAAGCTAGAAACACTCTTACTGGCCGAAGCTTCTTTTCCATTCGCCAACTCAAGTTTGGCATGCCTAGTAAGTGGTCTCAAGTGAGCCGAGTCAATGTGTGTTTCTACACCATTGGCATTCAAGTTTCGAACCCCGCGCACATCGCCTCATGTCACCAGTCATTTCGTTGCGGAATACCGCCGTCCTTTGCTTTAAGCTTTGTGTATCATTGCGTACGTACATGTCTATATCCTCCTCCGTCTAGAGTACATCAGATTAGAACTTCATGATGCAAGCTATGCAACCTGGTCCCTTTTGCGCTCTGCGCCGTTGCTCTATAGCTGTACACGGGTGTAACTCCCCAGTCAAACAAAAGTCGGTTCCGTTTTCCGGATTAAAAAAGGAAGAAAAAGAAAAAAAGGTCAACAGTGAACATGGGTGAAAGGAAGTTCGTAATATGTACTCAGAACAGGGTAATCGTCGCGTAGAGAGAGTTTGGTATCATCACATCTCTACGCCCACAAATAGGAAAATGACAGGCCAAAGGAAAGATGCTATCGCCTTCTATCCCATAACCTATGCCCTGCTGCTGCCGAAGTGGCTGTTGACCTCGTTGATGAGGTTGTGGGGGTCGTACTCGGGAGCGTACGTCGGTGCCAGGCCGCCAAGCATGGTGAAGAGCACGAAGGCGGAGAACACAATGATGGTAAGCTTGCGAAGAATCGGCTTGCGCTGGCCGAACTCGGCCCACTGGCGACCGCCCTCACCCATGTAGCCCTTGATCTGCTCAAAGCCGAGCTTGTAGTAGACCATGCCACCGAGGGCGATGCTGTATCCGAAGAACTGGAGACCGGAGACCTGGGTGCCCCAAATGGCCATGGAGGCGGCAACCAGCATCACGTCCTTGAGGACACCGCAGAGAGTCAGGACCAGGGAAGAGGTCTTGCCGATCTGAAAATAGTGTTAGTAACGGTGATTGGGAGATCTTGAAGGCATCAAAACTTACCAAAAAGACGACAGAGACGTTCAGCAGGAAGGCGCAGAGACCGTTCAAGAAGAAAGTGAACAGGCCAACGTTGTACACCTGGTCCATGGTGACCTTGGGAATCTCCCAAATGAGAGCAACAGCCAAGTTCATGACAGCGCAGATAGGAGCGAAGTAGTAGACGGAAACGAGGGGGTCCATCTTGTAGTCGGCAGAGCTGAGCAGGCGCTGGACCATGGTCAAACGCAGGGCCTCGAAGATGACACCACCGATCTGGAAGATGACACCAATCCAGACGAACTTGATCTCGCCAATGGAAGCAATGATGACACCAACGACGATAACGGAGACGTTCAGGAAGACCTTTAGGTTGGGCGTGGAGACACCAAGGGCCCATCCAGAGAGGAGGACAGCGACGGGGGTCGTAGCCTTGAGCATCTGGATGAAAGCAACCGAGAGGTACAGGTAGGTCAAGTTACCGCAGATCAAGCTCAAGCTGAAGAAGACACCGATAGGCACGATGGCACGCACGTAGACACGGCCAGTCATCTTGACCGACTTGCGTCCGTCGAGAACGTGAGTCCAGCGAGCGAGGATCTGGGTCATGATGGTCGCGAAAGTCAAGTGGTAGGTCGTCAGAATAACCGGGTAGCCTGTGGTTAATTAGCATCCTGCCTAGAGCTCCAAGCTGTCGTCTCGATCGGCTTACGGAAGTTGAGGGTGTCGAGAATCCATTTGTTGAACAGAATGACGGAGGAGGACAGCGAGATCCAGACACTGCGAGAGGATTGGGTCAGCCAACTTTCGCAACAGCGGAAAATCGAGGTTCTAGTTTCTTACATGACGTAGAGAGCGGGATGGATCTGAGGACCCTTGGATTGAGGAGACGACTTCTCGGCGTCCTGGTTCGTGGTAGGCAGGATAGAGCCGTTCTCTCCACGAGGAACCTCGCCTGAAACGCGCGTCTTCTCGTCGGCACCCATTGTGACGGTTTGGTGTGCGGAATGGGGAAAAGGGTGTAGGGGACGAGTGGTTGAGGTAGGCGGAGGATTGATTGAGGTCGTCGGTAGCGGCGGTTGATGTTGATGTAGGAGCAAGTTGATACAGCTCGGGAGCAAAAAAAGAAGAGACGCGCAAAAACGAGAGCGAGCGAGTGGACGGGACGGCCAAGCAACTCGTTAAAGGTGTCGTGGGGTAGGCGACAGGTGCTTTAACAGTATGCAATGGGGGGTCCCAAAGTTAGACGTTAACGGACACCTGTGGTGGTACTTGAGCCGGTTCAAACCTTGGAATGGGGCTGAGCACGGCTTTCTGAATCTGTAACTTGTGGTGAAGGAAGAGGGAGAATCGAAAGAAAAAGCCGAAAGCAGGAAGCTTTTGACAACCACGACCTTACAGGAACAGTTTAATAGAGGTCTGAAAAAAGAGGACAGCTGCTGCTTGCAGGGTGTTGGAAAGGGAAAGGGGAAGAAGGAAGGGAAAAAAGAGGAAGGGGGGTGGGTAGGCGAGGTTGTAGTGCAGCAAAGATATGGATGCCCCCCGGCAATTAGCAGCGATGGGCGTGAGAGAAAAAAAAATCGATTTCTTCGTCTGTAGTGTATTCGTAGGTATTTCCCGCCCCTCTCTCTCTTTCCTTTGCCTTTTCCTTTCCCTTCTCTATGGTGTGTTTACCGCATACTGTGTGGCAGGTACGTGTGTAGTTGCGTAGGTACCCTCTCTCTCCTTGCTCCTGCTCTTGTTCTGGAAATTGAGGTTCACGTTGACGCGATCAAGCCCGCCCAATCCAGGATCCGGCAGGCGATGTACAGTCACGGATACCTGGTAGAGTGGAGCTTTCTACCCGCCAGCAGGTGTTGGCACCTTGGCCGGAGCGCAGCCCGCATGTACCTGGTACAGGAAGACGACACCCAGGTCCCACTCTGCAACTGTGAGGGAGAGAGCAGGATGGAGGGGGCCACTTGTCCAGACAGTGACTCCAGACTCCCAGCGTCGGCCGTGGCAAGCGTGGGTGCGACTGCGTGGTACGCCACCCTCTCAGGGGCTCCGATGGGACTAATATTAGTGCTGCCAATCTTGGATAGGGGCCGCAAATCAAGCTCTGCCCGCTCACCCACGTTCTGGTCCTTGGCATCTCACCAACGACGTGACTAAGGCAAGGTACCACGGCACCTGGCTCCTCTCTTTTTCTCACCTCAGAACCTTGAAGTATTATAGTGGGTGAGGCTTGACTCTTGAGCAGGTCGGACGACGGCGATGGCGCTGCAGATAGAGTTAGGAAGGTCGTTTCTGCCATGGCTCAGCATAGCAAGAGCTTTGAAGATCAATCGAGTCTTGGTACCAGACCTGAGAAGCGATACTTGACTCTTGTCAATGAACCCTCATGAAAGTGATCCGCTTCCTATGGATACCTTCAAAAGCACTACAACAACCTAGTCCTAATGGGACTCGAGAGCGGTGTATTGTGGCAGGCACTCGATATTACATTGGACTGCATCTCATGCAGCTCTTGTCCCCTTGGCCGATATGTACATGTAGCCGTACCTTGCAGCCAATCCGGCCGTTTACAGATCCAGTACTCCGTACCATCACTAACATTATCCATACGTGCTATTCAACCCCCATGGTGCTAGGTATTCGCTGCTGTGCTAGGCGAAAAGAGGCTCTTACTGTTGATTAAGAGAATTGGATGATTGCTCCGAAAGGGGGGCCAAGCCACCCCGGCCTCGCCTCAGTCTTGCAGTCTCACACATCGGGCCTTGACCTTACAGCCGCAGCTAAGGCAGGTCTCGGTCAGGTCTTGTCACCAGGGTCCAAATGACATCTCAATGCGTTTGTCACTTGTGGCCGTAGGCTGTAGCATAGTTATCGTCAAGTCTATCTTTAAGGCCATGGTCTCTGGCCATGTGGTAAACTAGGCCACCTCTAAACTCTGGAACTGGCACGCATTCTTAGAGCCGGTAACCGTGGGGTATACATACTGCCCTATATGACTATATGACTATATTTGGTGACATGAGCTGTGTATCTGAGATCTAGACGCACTATCTCTCAACGCTGCAATTTAAACTGGTCTTAAAAATAAGCTAGAAGCCGCAGGAGAAAAGAAGAAAAGAAACTTGCTTCCCTTGGAGGGAGGCTCATGCATTAGCACCATCCATACCTTAGCAAAAGCAAAGTAGTCCATACTGCTTCTGTCCGTCTTCTACGGCGAGCACTAACTTGTTGCTCTAACAAGATGGCATCATTCCTACTATGGGCACCTTCCTCGGCTGTAATTAATGTCAGACTCGCGCTTGCTTTACTGGTTACATACCCTTCTCGAACACGTGCGGACGCGGTTCAACACCCCATCATCCTGCCTTCCGTCACTATCCGTATCAGTCGGTGCTTCCTTCTCGCGAGGTGCCACGCTGCCTTCCAGGTTTGCGCGGGTAAGACCGC